TACTTCTTTTTTTCCCTTTTGTATAGTAAACCGTCGTAACGAAGGAATATGCCGACCACTTGTAGCCGTCATACTTAGTAACTATTATTTGTCACTAGAAAACACAAGTTTACACAGCCGACTAGTAGCCCTCAGGCTGAGTACGAATGTGTAGAGGTGTGTCGACATTTGTGACAATTGGAACGCCATTTGTGTCGCCGTGTGCACGAAAGTGTCTAGGGATATTGCAATTGGAAAGCACCCAACATATGGACGGAGCGTAAAGCCTATCACACAATGTCAGGCAACAGGCAACAGGAACAGGGAATAGAATTTCTGACGCGTTGGATTGGTTGGAAGAAAATTTTCAACGAATCCAACGCGTCAAAAATTCTATTCTCTGTTCCTATTGCCTGTTGCCTGGCATTGTGTGATAGGCTTGAGTGTCGCAGAGTCGCAGTCGTAAGAATAATTGACCATGATTGGTCAATTTTTATGTGCCTGACGGAATTGGCCAATCGCAGTCGATTATTCTTAAAACGATTGGTCAATTCCGTCAGGCACATCAAAATTGACCAATCATAGTCGATTATTCTTACGACTGCGACTCTCATTCTAGACCCAGCATTCGTCTCTTCTCGGTATACTGCGTTGTGTATGTTGTATATGTTGATACCTGTCACCGCGTATAAGGTTAGCTGTCCGACCGCGGAAGTCAGGCATCCCCGAGCGTCGTTTCTTCGTGAGCCGCGGCGAGGATGACGTCCTGTTTCGAGAACATGCAGATGCCGTCCTGCGTCTGGTTCGAGGGCGGCGAGAAGAGGAACGCGCTCGTCTCGATGCTCGCGGGCACTCTGGTAAAGAGCCACGGGGTCTCCCGTCCCGAGTTCGTTTCGCCACTTAATGCAATAAACAAACGCCTATCGCCTCTCGCGAGTGAGCCGTCATGATACGTCGATAAGCCTAACAGTTCCTAGCCACACTTTTCCGTCGTTTCTTTAGTTTTTCGCCAAGCTTCCGAGTCTCGGAGAACTTAGTGTAATATCACAGATATACGTGTGTCTATATATGTATATATTCTTCTTCAAAGATCGCGCTTTCAGCGATTCGTATTCCTTGCGTTCGTTTTCCTCTCGCAGCCGTCATGCAAAATCTGAAATGCTGTTTCAGTTCTTCGTAGGATGGTGGTTTATAATAGACGCGCATGCGAAATATCCGAGTGAAATGGCGAATGCGTACCACGTCTGCGGAGTGTTCGGCACCATATCACTTTTTATGTAAGTATAACATTGACGGCGATACCAGTAGTGCACTTACTGGTACAGAACGTATCCTAATTGGAGTACACAAGAAGATTTCGCAATGCCGTGGTATTGATTGTGAAAAGCGACTCGATATTACAGGGTCAATTCAGTGACCAATGCACAGATAAGAGGAGAAGCTTACAACGGCGGTTGTTTAGGAGCAAGGGGTGCTCGGAGTTGGCTGTTTGTTGGGTTCGTTATGGGATTCGCGGCTGTAATAGCGGCATGCTGGATCTTATTTGCTAACTTTGTAGCAGCAGGTATTTATAACGCCGTAACGTGCACATATATTTACAGAATTAATGCATTATTAGGAGTACGTTCCATTTGGCGCTCGCGACGCTGTTTGAATCGTCGCCTGGCAAGTGTCAAACTAGGATGAATAATGCTCACGAATGTTACGGGCGCCAGACGAAACGTACCTAGATAGTAGATGTATTACTTTTATACCCTTTCATCTCTAAGAAACTGAAGTTTGGGCGATATAAAGTAAATGCAGTTGTTCAACGAAACGATTGCGTCGGCACTGAGTCTATAGGCTTGTTCTCTATTGCTGCACTGGTGAACTAGCGTAGTAAGCTAGAATGAGAAAAAAGATACTTTAACTTATTGCACTAGTTCACCAGTGCGGCAACAGAAAGCAAGCCTTGTGTGTATCTCTCGACTATGTTGGTACCGAGCCAAATGACTGTAGTCTACGGCTTTCTCATAGTACAACCAGTAGGTCCACTCTCGGCCGGCCCCTTCGATCTTTGCGGTCTCGTGGTATTTCGCCCTACACCTGGGCAGGATCCAGCGACGTGTGTGCGGGTATATACGTACTCGTCAAGGCCACACTACCACACGTACAACTTTTCTCTCATTGACCTGCCCAGAGCAATGTAGGACGCGCAGAAGGGATCGACGCAAAACGAAACGAATGACGGAGTGGACCTACTAGTTATACTATGGCGTTCCCGTAGAAATTGAAAAAAAAAGTGTTGGTACTGAGTCCATGTGTATCTCTTGACCAATGCTAGCGTTTCGTTGAAACTGACTGCGGTATCCTGTAACGACATTGGTTCGCGGTATGCAGAACCATCTTATAACATTTGGGATCACATTGTTTTATATTGGACTATCTGACGTTGATCATTTGGTCATAACATGGGCCTCTCGCTTTTGGATGGAGGAATCTTGAAGCGTTCACCAGTTGGCCCATTTGAAATGTTAGACGTGTCTAAAGTAAACTTGTACACTGTACCGAGGATGGCACCAAGTAGGTGTCGAAACGTTCACATTATGGAACACGAGTGATAATTGAGGATTAAACTTACGCAACAACCAACTGCGTTTACTCTCATTGCCCATACTTTTTTTAAAATGATTTTATTGGCTAATTTGTTTATTCATCCTTCATATCCTTGTTTATTACATTTAACGTCTCTCTGTAGGCGCACCGCATCATTGGCCAGGGGTAGGATTGTTCCTGCAGAATGTGTTTATCTTCCTGGGCTCGCTCACGTATAAATTCGGTCGATCCGAGGATCAGTGGGGCTAATAGACGCTCGCTGTTGGTGAAAGAGATTTTTATTACCGCATAGTCAAGTCAAGCACCAAACGAAGCTCGACTGAGGAAGCTCGCGACGTCAACATACCCTGTTATCGCGAGCGTGAAATCCAATTCGAATCACAAATTATTCTTATTATAAACGTTTCCGTACACACACGTGACAATTCTTATTTATGTCCACCGGAATCGTGGAGACAGATAGCAATTAAAAGTTACAGATATGCATATGCATGTACATTTGTAACTTTTATATATATATATATATGTATATGAGATTTACTGTAAAAATAAGGAGGCTTAGATTATCAACTTTGTGTGATAAAAAGATATGCTACTTATGCTACACTAATAATTTTTAATCGCACCGGTAACTCTTTTCTGCGTTCATCAAATTCCATATTTGTATTCCTCTCTCATCGTTGCGTTCGTACCTTATATTTGATACTTTTACAAGACAGATAATCACAAGTGTCTGATATCGAAGTTAAATAAATGAATCATGTTCCGAGAAAGCAGTTTTTGATTTATCTGTCGAGGGGCGCAATTTTGTCGAAATAATCTTCGATGCGCGCAATTGCTCGTTATAGCGTTTCTTTCGTGCAGATTAGTTGGTTTTTAAATTAGGATTCGGATGGATCCTATTCCATATTAGATAATGCAGGATTGGGAAAGTTACTTTATAAAAGTATCTAGTTACAGTCACAGTTTTTACAGTAACGAGTCGTTCCTTTACAGCTACTCTCTTGCAATGAAAATAAAAATATCAAATTTGCATTTGAATTGTAAAGCGCCGATAAAGGCGTTTATGCGCAAATGCAAGGCCTAATGCGATCTGTGGAGGTTTAAATTTTATAAAGTAACTATTGATGTAACTATCAGATTAGTTACTAGTTATCGAAAAAAAGGTAACTTCGTTAAGTTACAGTTACAGATGAAGAGAAAGTAACGGAGTTAAGTTAGAGCTACCAAAGAAAAGTAACTTTAACTGTAACTTCGTTACAAGTAGCGAGTTAAGCCAACGGCACACGATACTATTTTTCCTACTGGATTGCTTACGAGAGCCAATCAGGACGCAGAGTTTTCGATCAGGTGACTCAAAGCTGAATCCTGGTTGGCTCTCGTAAGGAATCCAGTAGGAAAAATAGTATCGTGTGCCGTTGGCTTTCCTTCCCAACCCTAAGATAATGTGTAATGACTTTGACCAAAACTTCGATCAACTTGTCAAGTAGCAGCTGCAGTATTTCAATTTATTTTACGTAATAGAGGTATTAACTTTTTATCGTTGTTAAAACATAGAAACGTTAAATACTGTACAATTAAAAATGTTGCTGCAATCCTGTTGAATTAATCAAGCTGCTCGATATTTCCTCCGAGAAATCGGCCTGTCATATCTAATGTATGAATCGCGACGAAATGCGGCATTTTTTAATTTTACATTCTCAAATTTCCTTTGCGCGCGCAAATTAGGCCCAAGGGGTCAATTCTGTATCTTACACTGTAGTAAAAATGCTAAAAGCGAATAGCTTGTCTCTTTCTAAGGGGACAGTTCCAGAAAGAGACAAAATGCTATTCGCTTTTAGCATTTTTATTATAATGTAAGATACAGAATTGGGGCTCGATTCCTCAATTTGTTTGAAAGAGAAACGTATGCGCAAGTTCTGCTTCCGCAGAATAACCAATTTAATTAACTCGCGACTTTTCTGCAAGTGCAGAATTTTCGCGCACGTTTCTCTTTCAAGTAAATTAAAAAAAAGAATCGAGCCCCCCCCCCCCGTGCTTCGTGCGCTCTCCCCTTAAAAATGCCCCCGGGAGAGAGAAATCTGTGCCGTCGGTGGGTCAACGCGACGCGACGCGATTGGCGCGAATCTGCCAACGCGGACCAACGGCGTCCCGTCGGCCGCCGCGGCGCTACGCCAATCGCGACGTGCCACACCAACACATGGTGGCACGGCGGCACCAAGTCCCACGGCGGAGGGTATCCCGACTGTCACACTCGGCTCTTTTTATGTTGATTCGAACGGGGCTGTGAACGCGCGAGCGTGTGTTCCGAATGGTATACAGCTGAGAGCCGCCTGCCCCGAGTACGTCGTGTCCGTGTGTCGTCGGTAGACCTGAGCTGAAGGTGAGCGCGCGCGTCGAACGCACTTTCCCCGGCCGCGACGTGCGCCCCACGTCGGTCGCCGGTACTCATAACCAAGCTCTGACAGCTCGCGACGGTCGGCGAGCGCGGGCCTCGTGCACGTCAACGTTCCCGAGCGTCTCGCGCTCCAATTTCTCCCCCGCCGCCGTCGCGACGTGTCTCACGTCCGTCTCCGTTTTCCAGATGGAATTCACGCAGAGAGGCATGTCGATGGCGTCGCTAGCCCTGCTCGTACTCGCCACCTTCGTCGGCGTCAGCGAACAAGTTGCCGTCATGAGCGTCGACCTCGGTAGCGAGTGGATGAAGGTCGCTATCGTCTCGGTACGTGGCAATCCGCTCGCGTGGCGAGTCCCACCCCCCGACCTCCCCTAGACTGCCTCGCGCCAGAGAGCTTCGTTGGTCGAGCGTATCTGGCGCGGCTTTGCATTCTTTTTATTAAATTCACCGTGTCGCTCTTTGCTCCGCAGCCGGGCGTTCCTATGGAGATAGCCTTGAATAAGGAGTCGAAGAGGAAAACGCCGGTGACGATAGCGTTCAGGGACGGCGAGAGATCGTTCGGCGAGGACGCCCAGGTGATCGGAGTGAGATTCCCCCAGAACACCTTCTTCTACATTCTAGACCTTCTAGGGAAGCCTATAGACAATCCGCTAGTGCAGCTCTACCGCGAGAGATTCCCTTATTACGACATCGTCGCCGACGACGAGAGGAAAACCATAGCGTTTAGATTGAACGAGAACACAACGTACACGCCGGAGGAGCTGCTCGCGCAGATATTGCACAAGGGCAAGGAGATGGCGGAGATCGCCGCCCATCAGAAGATCAACGAGGCCGTGATCACCGTGCCGGGATTCTTCAATCAGGCCGAGAGGAGAGCCCTGATTCAAGCGGCCGAGCTCGCCGGGCTGAAGGTGCTGCAGCTCATAAACGACTACATGGCGGTCGCACTTAACTACGGCGTGTTCGGTAGGACTGAGATAAACGACTCCGCGCATTACATCATGTTCTACGACATGGGAGCCAGCAGCACCACCGCGACGGTCGTCAGCTATCAGAACATGAAGATGAAAGAGAGAGGCTACCTCGAGACCAACCCTCACGTCTCCGTGCTGGGCGTGGGGTACGATCGCACGCTCGGCGGACTGGAGATGCAGATCAGACTGCAGCATTACTTGGCGCGGGAGTTCGACGCCCTTAAAAAGACGCCGAACTCGGTGCTGAAGAGCCCGAGGGCGATGGCGAAGCTCTTCAAGGAGGCCGGGCGCGTAAAAACGGTGCTCAGCGCCAACGCGGACCACTTTGCCCAGATAGAGAGCTTAATAGACGACATCGACTTCAAGTTGCAAGTCACGCGGGAGAAGCTGGAGGAGATATGCGCCGATTTGTTCAAGCGCGTGACGAATCCTGTGAAGATCGCACTGGAAACTTCGGGTGACGTGTCTTCTCACGGTTGCACGATTATCAATTCTTATAAACGTTCACGTCGACGCTAAACGTACGCATCGTTTTAAAACTGTTTCAGGTTTGACAATGGATGTCATATCGCATGTTGTGTTGGTAGGTGCGGGCACTCGCATGCCGAAAGTACAAGAAACATTGTCCCAATACGTGAAGACGGAATTATCAAAAAATGTAAATACGGATGAGGCAGCTGCTTTAGGGGCTGCGTACAAGGCGGCTGATCTTGGCCAGGGCTTTAAAGTCAAGAAGTTCGTCACGAGGGACGCTTTGTTATTCCCGATTCAAATCACCTTTGATAGAACCGTTGACAACAAAGTTAGACAGGTGAGAGATTGTTAAACGGCGTTTGATTCTTTTGTATATTTTAACTCTCCTTTACAAAGGGCTGCCTATGAATATTCTTTCTTTAAACATTTATTCTTGTGAACAGGTGAAGAAGATGCTGTTTAATAAAATGAATAATTTTCCACAAAAGAAGATTATTACATTTAACAAGCACACGAACGACTTTGACTTTAATGTAAATTACGCAGAGTTGGATTATTTGCCCGATAGTGAGGTAATGTAAGTATCTACAGCTTTTATTCATGTAGTGCTGGGAGCAAATTGACATATTATTTGAAGTATTAGTTGAAGTATTAGAAATTTCAGATCTCTAAGACTACTAAGGATTGATTTTTTTTTCACAGTTCCATTGGTGACTTACATATAGCTACTGTGTCGCTGAGCGGCGTAGCCGAAGCTTTAGAAAAGCATTCGAACGAAGGCGCCGAGAGTAAAGGAATCAAAGTGCACTTTAATATAGACGATAGCGGTGTATTGAACTTAATGACCGTAGAATTAGTTTCCGAAAAAACGAGTACTGTCGTTGACGAAGAAGAGGGTACTTTCTCAATACTTGGCTCAACTATTAGTAAATTCTTTGCAGGTTTGTGCCGAAGGCAGTGCAAAAAATGATACCTTTGATTTTTGTTGTATGTACAGGCTTTAGTTTCGATGATACTTGCACTATACTGGTTCTTCTTTATATCTTGTTTGTATGTATTGAAGAACTGTTTTATTTCTTAAGGAAGAATACGTACGTTACTTTTGTAATGTACAAAAAGAGTAAAGATATTCTTTCATGTTACGTTTTAAAATCATTTTTTGCAAGCATTTTTATCAAGAAATACGTAGATGTGCTTTAAGAAATAGTACTATTATCGAGTAGGGCTCGGATTTTTGTGTCGTTGACAATTGAACTTTTGCAGTAACACACGTTTTCAAAATTTACATATTAATAGAATAATTAATAACGTTGATAGAATGACTCCCGTTGCATTAATAGATATTTTTGTTTCATTTCATTAGACGTGTGGTGAAACTTCGAAGGCTTGAGTTTGTGCAGTTCGTTGTCAACGACGTAAAACTGTAGACCCTGACGACGAAGTTGTCTAAATGTAAAGAGAAGCATATTAAATTGAAGTCTCGATCTTTCAGGTTCTTCCTTAGAAAAAGAAACGGTGGAAAAGACGGAGGAACCGCCGAAAGAGGATATAAAGCCGGTGCATGAAGAACCAGAGCTTCCGGAATCGGCGAAAGAGACGGACGAGAAGGAGAAGAAGAAGAGCGAGACGAAAGCGAACGAGGAGAAGGCTGTAAATAAGACCGAGAAGACGGACAAGGAGAAGAAATCCACGATCGTTCAGATCAAGGAACCTATCAGGTCAGAAGAGATCAGATTAGGATCGCAGATCTTGTCCGGTGACAAACTCGTGGAATCTCGAGACAAGTGAGTAAAAATATATTTATTCGCCATGTGAAATAAAAAATTAATTCCCAACTTTTACAGGTATATGTGTATGCCGTTTCAAATTTTGTCAATGTTACATTATAAATGCCACTCTGATTTTTCATTGCCTCTTTCTCGTTTCTTTCGGCAAATGTAATTGGCATAATTCGTGCCACTTCGATAAAACTATTCCGTTTTATTTTTTCCATTAGGATACATCGTTTGGACGTGCACGATTCGGAGAAAACGCGCCGCGAGACCGCGTTAAACAATCTCGAGTCGTACGTGATCGACGCGCAGCAAAAGTTCGACTCCGAGGAATTCTCGAGCGCAGCCACCGAAAAGGAGATCGAGAACATTCAAAAGGCCTGTGCCGAAATCTCCGAATGGTTGTACGAGGACGGATTCACCGCGACCGCGGAAGTGTACGAGGAGAAGTTGATGGAATTGCAAAAGTTAACTAACGACGTCTACGAGAGAGTCTTCGAGTACCGAGACCGACCGGAGGTCCTGAATGGAATGGTTTCGCTACTCAAAGGCAGCAGATTGTTCTTTGAGAATATGCGTAACTTGAGTGTGACGAGCGACGTTATTACGCCCGTTGAAGTCGAGACGTTAGAAAAAACGATCAACGAGACACAGGTAACGGTTTAATTTCAATAATTCTGAAGCAACTTCGAACTTTGACAGTGTTACATATGCCATTATTATGTATTTCTAATAGTATAATGCAAAAAGTGATATTTTTCCCCAGGATTATTACGAAATGATTTCGAAATATTTCGAAGATGCGCCGTTAAACATACCAGTAAGATACAAAGTCCGCCAGATCGCAAATAAAATGGAGTTGCTCGACAGAGAAATTAAATATCTTGTGAACAAAGTAAAGATATGGAAGCCAAAACAGGAAGCCGCGGCGAATCAGACGACGGACAGCAAGGCCGAGCGCACGATAGAGGAAAATGAAGAATCCGTAGCCGATGCGGAAGACAAGGCGGAAGAACAGCCGTCCGATAAATTGAAAGAGCAACTACAAGAACCAGTAACGGAGACGACGGAGGATCCGGTACGTCTACCGGAGAGCGGGAAGCCGCAATTACCTAACGAGGAATTGGAGGAAGAAACGCATCAAGAACTATAAGAAATAATTTATTTTAAAGTGTGATTCTCTGTTATCGATCGACGATGTCCGTCGATTTAGGCAATTTTTCTGTAGATTTACTTTCGTCCGATGCATTTAAAATCAAGGCGAGAATTCTCTTGTACGTTGAACAAGTTGGTTCTGCGAGCGCGAATACAAGCTGTTCCAATTGATTTAATAATATGTGTTTATATGTGGGTATGTTTTCGCCGTTCACGTTCATTGCAAAAGAGTTATTGCGAGAGTGCAGATCGAAGATTGTTCACGACAATTATATTACACAAGTGCCAAGCAATAGCGGATCACGGACAATTGATTTTGTTTGATAACGTGAAGCAGGCCAGTTTTGCGAGAGGCTTATCTCGGGTCTTTGCAGCGTAAATTTGTGACTTTACATGTAAAATGCTTCTGCTGCAAGTATATCTTTGAATTATGTATTATCACGCGTATGAAATTGCAGTATAAAGCATACTATTGCTTGTAAAAACACGAATGATGAGGTACCGTACGTAAAGTGATTTCGGTTCGTAAAATAGTTCTTTCACATCTTTTAGGGAATGGAATTTTTCGTGTGATAACAGTCCTACGTTCTTGCGAGATAAATGTATATCAGTAGTCTTCGAATGAATTTATCACGTTTTCCTACATACATTACATTGATTTGTATCATCTTTTTTATAAAGGGAGATTCATAAATCTTTCCATTTTCTGTTATTTATAGTGATACGATATAAAAAGAACATGCGACACTTAAGATATTCTAATGTATATTTCTTAAAGGAGTTAGATAGAATATATGGAATATTAATTATTTTGTAAATATATAACTACATATTTGCACAATGTGAAATAGATAAAAGTCGGGCCCCTCGAGAGAATCGTAAGATATAAGATTGCTTTTCTAGCTTCATCGATATCTAGATGAGTTCTCTCACGAACACAATATATGATTATTCTACTGCCAGATAGGCGTTCGAATTTGAGAAATTTTTATCGTTCCAATAAAAATCATTGTAAATTTAAATGTTATACCAATTTATTTATTTGAACGAACAGAAAATCTATATCGGAGAGGGAGAAACATTGGAATAAAGAAACAAATGTTCTTGACGATCATTGTTTTTCTTTCTAAAAAGATATTTATGATGAAATCGTTTGAAAACTCAGGATCTTTCCATGGAAGAGAAAATCGAGTACCACAGTCGAACTTCCGTCTTCCTTTTATTTTCTATAAACCCCCTGTAATATTTAATTTCTCCTCTCGCACCGATCGAGAAACTGGTGCAAGTTCGCTCAGCTGATTTCTACTAGGTTATGTATATAGTGCAGGTTGTCTTTCACTTGCTCTTTAAAGTCGCTCTTTCTGAACGACTTGGAGACTAGAACGCACCTTTGTTTACGTTAAACTACGGAATATGTGGCTGGGGGACTTGAAGAGAATTTAAGACTAGAGAAATTGTGCCGGCCCCAACAAATTAAAAGAAAAGGAAAAACGCGGTTGGACCGTACATTAATTTTATCGTTGGCAAGTAATGGCGATGCGTCAGGTTCTCAGAAAATTATGGAAAGGTATTGGGCCCACGATGGTGAGAATGCAATTTCATTTGGTATATTTTCATTCCTGCATTTAGTCGCATTAAGAGAGACCCGTCATTCGCTCGCAGTATACGTCGGGTATGCTGTTTGTCCATTGCGCCTCGGCCGACAAGCCTGGTGAAAGCGACAAGTTGAAGCTGGCACCGCCGGACATCAGTAAACTGACCTACGAGTATGCGATAAGGCAATCCGCGTTGGATGCTGCTAACAGCGCGACTCAGGTGTTAACTGTCACCTACATGGCTATAGTAGACCTGAGTGCTGAGTACAGGTGAGTACAAGTAAAGATAACGGTGTGGATTAACGAAAATCGAATGCCTACGTTTATAGCTGCTTTCCTTTTACACTCTAGTGATACTGAGTCACTCAGTTGTGTGAGTATTTTATACTCGGATACGACGTCATTAGTAGTTGCTTTCCTTTTACATGAAAACCCAGATAAATCTCACTTGTGACGTCGTAACTCAGTTGAATGCATGTTCCTTTTGATTCTTGAGAAGTGAGATTCAACCAGATTTAACTGAGTTTCTGAGTATAAAATACTCACATAACTGAGTGACTCAGTATCACTTGAGTGTAAAAGGAAAGCAGCTATAACTTTTCTTTATATTAGTCACTCAGTTATGTGAGTATTTTATACTCAGATACGACGTCATTAATGTGAGTCTATTAAACTCACTAAAGCACACGGTCTTGATCGTGTGCAAAAACTCAGTTAAATCTGGTTGAATCTCACTTCTCAAGAATCAAAAGGAACGTGCATTCAACTGAGTTGTGACGTCACAAGTGAGATCTATCTGAGTTTTCATGCCAAAGGAAACTTATGCGTCGTGCCCATTTCGTAGAACGTTGCTGAACGACCTCATTTCCCTCCTGGAGGAAACCACAATGCACAATGTGAGCGACGCGCACTGGGACCTGATCGTGGAAGTACGGAACGAAATGCAAGAGAGGAGGGAGAAGATCACGGTAATAAGGAATTGCTTAAACAAACGAGAATCCTGACGTAATATCCAAATATCAAGTATCGCGGTCTACAATTCCAAATTAAGCAAGAACAGAGACTTATTGTCGCCAGTAAATTATTAACCAATGCGGGAAAATGAATGAAAACTGGCAAATTCTAATCAGAGAAATTTATTGCGAAAAGTATTATTACGTCAGCCAGGGTTTGAACCTGGACCTGCCTGCACTCTAGGCGACTCGATTGTCGAATTGGTGAGACGCCCCTCTTAGAGTGTAGCGAGGTCCAGGCTCAAACCCTGGCTGAGGCGATACTTTTCGCGATAAATTCCTCCAATTAGAATTTGCCGTCGCTCAGTAATTTTCCTACATTTCTAAATTGGAAATTCTTTTGTACTGTGCGAGGTATAGATTGTACACATATCTTGCGCCATAAAAATTATACGTAATCATATAAGTTAGAAGACGAATCCTTTTCTAATTAGCGCTTAGCTACGTATATGGAGTATGCGCACAAAATGGCAGCAGCTAGCGCGGAGCTATGTTACATGTGCGGGATGGATAGTCTGACTGGCACGCTTCAGCAGAGGATAGAGGACGCGTTGAACAGGGTGAAAGTGGAAGCTAATAGCAACGCGGAACTGGAACGAGCGTACCGGCACATACAGGAACGGTGCATCCAAGGCAGTAAAGAAACTACGGAGAAGTGATAAACTTTTGTAGGGAAAGTTCTGACGGTTCATTTTTACTGTAAGAAAGATTTGTATCGCAACGATGTTTATATTGATAAACGACTTTCTTCGCGTCTCTATCGATGCATCGTGTTAAGTCTGCTGAATTTTGTCTCACGGTTTTGTCTACATTACATTATTAGGTGGTAAGCTTAGTTTCCGCGGCTCACATTTCGACGACGCTAGTTGCAAGTGCGATTTACTTTGACATCTGATGACTGGCTGCATTTTAAAGGTCAGACATTTGTCAATAAAGTTCAGCGCGAAAAGATTCATTCGAGCGAACAGTGCCATTTTTCTCTTTTCATTAAACATGGAACGTGACAAGTTGGTTTCTCGACATGTGCTGCTTCGTCACTTTGATTTGAATGAAAACTGCAGCCGCAGCTCATAAATTACTTGTCGCAGCTTATGGCAATTGTGCCCCGTCGGAAAGAACATGCCAAGAATGGTTTCAGCGATTTAAAAGTGGGGATTTTAATGTGAATGATAAACAACGCTCCGGTCAGCCGAGAAAGTTCGAAGACACCGAATTGCCAGCGTTATTGGACGAAAACTCGGCTCAAACGCTCCAAGGATTGTCTGCAGCGTTAAATGTTACTCCGATGACTGTTTCCAAACGTGCAATGGGAAAGATTCGAAAGGAAAGGAAGTTATTCTTTTGCACGACAACGCTCGACCACACGTTGCAAAAGCCGTCAAGGAAACGCTGATGCAGCTCGAGCGGGACGTTCTCCCGCACCCAGCGTATTCACCAGACTTGGCTCCTTCAGATTATCACCTGTTCCGATCGATGCAGCACGGCTTGGTGGATACACACTTGAAAAATTACGAGGATGCGCGCAAATGGATCGATGAACGGATTGCGTCAAAAGACCAATCGTTCTATCGTTGCGGCATCCGCTCATTGCCAGAAAGATGGGAGAAAATGTATAGCTAGCGAGGGCAAATACTTTGATTACTTTTTGCTTTTGATATCGAAATAAATGAGTTTGTTAAACAAAAAAGCACCGCGAAAACTAAGTTTACCACCTAATAAAGGCGTTTGATACACCAAAGATTATTTTCTTCTCAGATATTTCTCTTATTATCTAGAATTTATAACATAAAAAATTAAGCATGCCTCATTGTTCTGCTCGATCTAATCAGTACAAGAGTCGTAACAATTCGGGAATTATTGCGATTTCGGCTCGTTAGAGAACAAGGCTCTGCGCCGCGATCGCCACTACGATTAATCTGTACAGAGAAATCGAGGCTAGCAAGACAAAAAAAAAAAGAGTTGAAGGGCGGGACTTTCCAACTGGTTCTCGTAAAGAAGGAAGAGGGACCGTGTCGGCTAATTAAAGACAAAGCAAAGGCTCGCTGGTTAAAGATGAGATTTTATACAAGAACTGAATGTGTCAATGATTACAGCTGGACTTGTGCCTCTTCGTTCTTCGCAAGCCTTGCTGGTATCACAAAGACCGAGTCTCCAAGATATAAAGATATATGTACAATATATATTCCTGGTATTTAACATACAGTACAGACCACAATACAAGTAAACGTAATAGGGAGAGTGATAGAGTATTTACAGACTTGCGGGTGCGGCGCCGCTTCAAACGTCTAAGTGTATCGAGACAATGTGTCGACCAGGCACCATCACCAGACCTAAAACTCTCGCCTCCGCGTGCTCCGTGGACAGATACTCGGTGCACGAGCCCAGGATAACGTTCGCGTCGCGATCCGTGCACAGAAACGCTCCCTTCAAGACCCGCCCGTCGGTCATCTCGATACGCAGATGTCGGTTCAGCCAGCTCCTCAGCTTCTGCTTGGCCGGCGACTCCTCGGTGATGACCGCCTGCTGCAGAATCAATCGAACAACCGCGTTGTGAGCGTGAACAATAACATCAATTCAGTTGGGGCCAGGTTTGACACATAACCTACGCGCGCGACAGGAACCGATAAAAATTCGCGCGCGGGCAGGACGCGCGGACCTACCGAAATGACATGTGTGGCGAAAAATTGGCAAAATTACCTCCTCATTCCCGTGCTCGTTGTTGACGACGTTGCTCAGATTGTGCACCGTCTCCTTCATACTCGCGCTCATCGCGCTCACGTTTATCCCCGTCTACAGACGACAGGGTGAACCTCACGCACCTCGACACATACAAAGCCAAATCCGATTGTTTTGATCTCGCTGACAATCCGGCCCGGCGGATCCGCAGGTTCGTTTCCCCGTGCAGTCATGAGAGGGGTTTGTTTTCTCTTCCTGCACAGTGCACTGGCGAACTTGGCGGGTCTGTTCTTTTCAGCTCAACTAGCTGCACTAGTTCAGTTACTTTTCTTCCTCTGCATTGGGGGGGGGGGGAAGGAGAGAGAGGGGGGAGAGAGAGAGAGAGAGAGAGAGAGAGAAACTTTGAAAAGACCTTTGGGATCTGTTCTTGTTAGGCCCGGTTTCACCAACGCGAGTTAAGCCCGCTGCAGACGATGCTATTTTTCCTGCTGGATTGCTTGCAATTTACTAAACTACTAGGAATCCTGAGTGCTGAGTGGTGCAACGATAGTAATTAAAGCCCGCTGCAGACGATGCTATTTTTCCTGCTGGATTGCTTGCAA